GTCTAATTTTTCCCATTTGATCATGTTAAGTTTGGAAGATTAATATAATATTAAGGACAATATTTAGAGAGAAAAGGGAGAGGTTAAAAACTTAACCTAACCCTCATATTTGATTTGTATTTATAGTTAACTCACAATAATAAGAATTACATATACACCCTCTTACTATTAACAATCTACACATAATACCCTAATACTCTTAACACTCCCCCTCAAGCTGGATTATATATATCATATAATCCAAGCTTGGAACAAATCACTATAAGACGTGTATGATTCAATGTTTTGGTAAACATATCTGTAAGTTGATTTTCAGATTTCACAAATGGAGTTGTAATCTCCCCAACTACTATCTTGTCTCGAATAAAGTGACAATCAACCTCAATATATTTGGTTCTCTCGTGAAATACCGAATTAACAGCGATATGGATAGCTATCTGGTTGTCACAGAACAACTATAAAGGAAGTTGAACTAGCAATTCAATTTCCTGGAGGAAACGTAGAAGCCGAGTCAATTCACTCGTTGTATGGGTCATTGCCCTATACTCAGCCTCAGTCCTGGATCTTGCTATCATAAATTGTTTCTTACTTTTTCATGAGACAACGTTACTACCTAAGAAAGTACAATAACCAGTGGTTGACCTCCGATCAGAAGGAGAGCCAGTCCGATCAGCATCTGAGAAACCTTTCACACTAAGATGTCTTTTAGCTCGATATAACAATCCAAGTCCAGGAGCTCGTTTGAGATATCACAGAATACTAAGACACCCCATGAACTGACTTACTATACTGACTGTATAGGAAATATCTAATCGAGTAATAGTAAGATAATTAAACTTCCCAACAAATCTGCGATACCAACTCGAATTCTCAAACAGTGCACCATTATCCATCAATAGTTTTTGATTCGGATCCATAGGAACATCAATCGGTCTGCCAACCAGCAAACTTGCTTTCTCTAGCATGTCAAGTTCATATTTTTTTTGTGATAAACAAATACTTTGTTTAGATCGAGCCACTTCAATTTCCAAGAAATACTTGAGTTTTTCCAAATCCTTAGTATGAAATCGATTTTGTAAGAAGATTTTTAACTTGGCAATCCCCTCAGAATCATTTTCAGTAATCACAATATTAACTATATAGACCACCAATAGAACATATCCAGTATCCGTCTGTCTATGAAACACAGAATGGTCTGTCTGACATCGAAGAAGACCAAACTCTAAAATTTGCATCTGAAAACTTACCAAACCATGCTCTCGGTGATTGCTTCAAATCATACAAAGATTTCTTTAATCGACATACACTCTTATCATACTCCCCCTGAGCAGTAAACCCAGGGTGGCTGCTCTATGTATACCTCTTCAACCAAGTCACCATGTAAGAAGGCATTCTTGACGTCTAACTAAAACAAGGATCAATCAAGATTAGCAGCCAAAGAAATCAAGATACGAACTGAGAAAATTTTGGCAATAGGAGAGAAAGTCTCCTCATAATCAACACCATAGATCTAAGTAAAGCCCTTTGCAACAAGCTGGGCTTTGAGACGCTCCACAGAACCATCCGGATGAAATTTAACAGTATACACCCAACGACAACCAACAGTTCGTTTCCTAGGAGGTAAAGGAACGAGATCTCAAGTCCCATTATGATGTAAGACACCCATTTCATCCTCCATAGCTTTCCTTTAACCTGGATCAGATAATGCATTCTGTAAATATTTAGGAATAGCTATAGTAGATAATTGAGAGGTAATACAAGAGAAGACATGAGACAAGACATCATATGAAATGAAATGAGCAATGAGATAATTAGTAACACATGAACAAGTACCTTTTCGAAGAGCAATAGCTAAAGAGCCTAAATTACCTGATGGACTAGGATCAGAAGGCAGCAAGGAAGACAGTATGGGAGCCTTAGTCGATGGTCGAGGACGACGAGAGTATACACGAAGAGGTAAAGTAGATGGTAACACAATGGGCAGCGGGATACCTGAAGATGAGGGAAGAGATGGTGGTACGAGAGATGACCCAAAGTTCAGCTCCAAAGACTGAGAAAGTGCTGAAAAATATAGAACAGATTCCTCAAACGTGACATCAGCACTAGTAAATTATCGTCGCAGATAAGGACTGTAACAACGATACCCTTTTTGTGTGCAAGAATAACCAAAAATACACATTTAGTAGCTTGAGGGTCAAGTTTATCAAACCCAGGACACAAATTATGAACATAACAAACACATCCAAAAACCTTAAGAGTTGGAAAAAATAAAGGCTTACTAGGAAAAAGGACAGAATATGGACTTTGCCCATTTAACACAAAGGATGAAATATGATTAATAAGGTGACAAGCAATAAGAACAGCATCACTCCAAAAGTATCGGAGAATATTCATTTGAAATAACAGGGCACGGGTGACTTCCAACAAATGACGGTTCTTGTGTTCAGCAATACTGTTCTGTGGAGATGTGTAAGCATAGGAAGTCTGATGAATAATGCCAGTTTTACTAAGATAAGCTAAAAAAAGATCAGATTCATATTCTCGAGCATTATCAGAACGTAAAATACGTATACGACAACCATATTGAATTTTTATTTCTTTACGAAAAGTCTAAATATAGAGAATAATTCAGACTAAACTTTCATAAAAAACAACTAAGTCACACAAGAATAGTCATCCACAAATGACACAAAATAAGGATATTTATTAGATGAAATATTCTTTATTAGGCCCTATACATCAGAATGTACCAACTTAAATGGACTAGACACACGATTATTAATTCTAGACTGAAATGACATACGGTGATGCTTACTAAGTTGACAAGCTTCACAAGACAAAGATGACACACAATTAAGACTGGGAACTTGGCGCTTCAAATTCTGAAGAGAGGGATGTCCAAGACGACAATGTCATTGAAAAGGAGACAACAAGGTCTATAGAGTCCGAGTAGGTAAATCAAAATCAAAGTAATATAGGCCACCAGCTTTATGCCCCGTACCAATCTTCCTCTTTGTCTTGAGATCCTAAAAGACACAATAAAAGGGATAAAAAATCATAGAACAATTGAGAGAATGAATAATCTTACTAATGGAAGGTAAACTAAAAGGAAAGTGAGGAACAAATAACACAGAAGATAGGGACATATTAGGACTCAAGTAAGTAGTTCCCAGATTTGAAACTTTAGAACAAGTACCATTAGCAAGAGTAACACTACGTATAGAAGTAGCAGACTGATAAGTAAAAAAAAATCAAACGCACCAGTTGTGTGGTCAGAAGAGCCAGAGTCTATGATCTAGGGACTGTGAGCGGAGGACAATAAATAAGTGGAAGGAATACTTGACTGGGCAAAAGTAGCAGTGGAAGGAGATGGGATAGCCAGTTGTTGGGACAGGAACTGAGCATACTTCTCTCGTGTAATAGTAACCGATCAAGTGTCTTGCTTGGGTTCCATAAGTGTAGCAAATAGAAAAAAAGAATTACTAGATCACTGAATCGGACAAGAATCACCTACTGCACTGTTGAACCGAAAAAGAGAAGATTGCTGGATCATTGAACTAGACTGGAGAACTTCACTGGACTGCTGAACCGGACCAAAGAAGTCCACTGGACCGCTGAACCAGACCAAAGGAGTCCACTGGACTACTGAACCAGACCAAGGAAGTCCATTGGATTGTTGAACCGGAGACAAAACAGTTTGAACCGGTCTAAAACTGACTGAACCGGTCTAAAACTGGATGAACCGGGCCTGAACTGCTCTAAAACTGAATGAACTGGGCCTGAATCGGATTTGAACCGGTTTGGTCTGAGGCTACTAGACTTCGATCTTGATTGGGTTTGGTCTGAGGCTACTGGACTTCGATCTTGATTGGGTTGGGCTTGGATCTGCTGCCCAAACCCGCAACCGTGAGTTGTCTTCTTCACCAACAAACCCTAATGCCCCTTCAATGGGTGACGGCGATGAACAACCAACAACCAGCAGCCACCAACGTCGACTACACCACCAAACAACCAGATAATCAGTCGACTACACCACCGAAGCACCACTGAAGAAGAACCAGAAGTGACCACCAAGAACCATATACCAAAACTCGAAGAACATTACAACTCAACAAACAACACCAACGAAGATAGAGAATATTCTCAACCACACCAATCGACTATTACCACCACCAGACAAGACCACAACGAACAATACAACACAATGACACCACCGAACAATCAGACACAACAACAATGGTCACACAACTGTGAACCAAAATAGTTAATATTTTTATTGGTTTTGCTCTGATACCATGTTAAGTTTGGAAGATTAACATAATATTAAGGACAATATTTAGAGAAAAATGAAATAGGTTAAAAACTTAACATAGTTCTCATACTTTACTTGTATTTATAGTTAACTCACAATAATAAGAATTACACATACACCCTTTTACTATTAATAATTTACACATACTACCTAATACTCTTAACAGATCACTTAGTCATTGTCATAAAGTAGTCCAACAACTGTGGCAACTGACAATAACTTGGAATCAACTGACAATAACTTGGAATCACTTCAACAATATTGGTCAGGCCTGATCATCTTGGGATCATTTTGAGGTATACTTCCTCAGATGGAAGTCGCTCCAAATAAGGGTCAATTGTCAGTGGAACTGACAAGTGAAAAGCATGAAACAATTTGAGTCCAGTCAGAGAAGAAATAAAACTTTTTATTCCTGTCATACCTTTTCCGTTTGGAGGAAGTATGTGGATTAATGATATTTTTGATGCCGTTATGTGTTCCCTCAACAATGTGACTCAATTAATGGGTCATGTTATGATTTATTGGAGGATCTAGGTTTTATTGATGAGTATGTCAACAGGGATTATCTTTCAAAAAAGCCAAGTATTTGCTTGCTACGTTAATGTAGTACTATGTCTGGTTAGGCTTGTGGAAATATATTGTTTCCAATGCTATTTCGCTGGTTTTTGTTTTTCAGGATGCTGATATCATGTGGTTCAGGGACCCATTCCCACATTTTACTTCGGATGCAGATTTTCAGATTGCCTGTGACCATTTCTCAGGTGACCCTAATGATGTGGAGAACAGACCCAATGGAGGCTTTAAGTTTGTAAGGTCCAATAACCAGTCAATAGGGTTTTACAAGTTCTGGTACTCCTCACAAGAAACGTATCCAGGATTACATGATCAGGATGTCCTTAATAATATCAAATTTGATTCTTATCTGATAGATATTGGATTGAATATAAGATTCTTGGATACTTCTTACTTTGGTGGGTTTTGTGAACCTAGCAAAGATTTGAATCAAGTTTGCACAATGCATGCAAACTGCTGTTTTGGGCTTGACAGCAAACTTCATTGATCTTAAAATCATGCTTCAAGGTTGGAAACTGTTTATGTCTTTGCCACCAAGCTTGAAGAGATCATCAATGCAATCTTGGAGGGTTCCTCAAAACTGCAGGAAAAATGGTGATTTGCATCGTACTTATCTAGATTTCAGAAGTTGTTGTCTTTTTTATGCACTAATTACTACTGTTTTGAAATGTCTACTCCTCACATGGGTTCTTTTCTCGTGGTTTTCCAGTCTCGATTCTCTTCGCCCATATGGTCCTCCAGGGAAGGTTGTTGACCAATGATAGGAAGATGGGGTTAAATATTGCATATATTATTAGTTCTTGTCCCCTGTAGATTGTCGAGTTAAAGTTTCTTATTTATACTGCAATTCTTTTTCAGTAAGTATTTCAATGCTTTTCAATGAAATGCCGATTGTACAGAGTTGATCTGATTTTTTGAGCCAAGCTGTTTCCCCCAAAATATGACACTTTTAAGTAATATATGTCAAGTAGAGGAAGGTACTAAGTTGGAGATCCGCGGTTTTGTAGGAGTTGATATGTTACTTGGATCTTGAGTTGTTTTGTTGTGTGGTACAGATACGGGTATATGGTACGACACTTTCTTAGGTACACGGTACGATGAGGGTATGCTTTGTTGGTACGGTATTTTGGATTACAATTCATTTTGGAATTCTTATTTAGATTGTTTTCAGTACTCTACAACATTATGTATCATAAAACATTTATAAAAATATTAAGTCAGTTATTATTTATCTTATATTTTTGCTCGATTTTTTATTATTCAATATAATATATAATTATAAATCTATAAACACGTCAATTAATATGTATTTTATATTTGTGTTGCATGTTTCAAAGCGAATTTATTAAGGGTTAATATTACAATTTGGAGTCATATATTTTGGTGATCTAGATTGGGAATTCACCCAATTTAGAATCAATGTACACAAATTGTGGGTTGCCAAGGGTTTAGCGTATTCTGGTAATTGTGGGTTGATATTTCATTGTGAATAACATTCCATCCTTGTAACTGTTTTCGGTAGATATTCTCTCATCATATAGATGCTGCATTGTGGGCAAAATTTGTATATTTATTTTCTTATCATTTGACCATTTTAAATAGCATATATGAAAGCAGGCAAGAAGGATTATTTTGCTGCTAGCCACAAATATGCTTAATTAGCACTCTTGTAATTTTTCCGAAAGAGTTTATTATGGGATGAAATCACTCTCAACTTGTGGAATGATGTCGAATTAACATGGATATGATGACCTTTGATTACACTTGTATGATAGAAAAGGGGCAGCATTCAGCATGGCCCTTTTGATTGGGAGTGCCGGATATAAACTTAGACTTTGACATTATCTGTACGACGGAGCCAAACCCACAGCCTGAGGGTTGTTTCCGCTACATTTTTACTCATTATCTGAATTTTCTTTTGGATTTGTCAATAACTCCAATATTTTGCATTTGCAACGTGCATGCACCAACATGCAGTTGTTTTTGTTTCAGTCATTTTATATCAGTTGACATGTTTCTCATTATTGACGTTTTGACAAAATCAGTGAGACCTAAGAAGCACGGAAACTCATTTAAAGATGACACGTGTCTATGTTGGATATATGTCGAATATCGACATTTTTTAGATACTCTTGAAAGCCTCATTGTTTGTACTTGGCCACGGCAGTCACTTGGATTCTCATTTGGTAATTCTTCCTTATTTTCTTATTGCAAAGGTGCATAATAAGACGTTTATGTATAGAGGATGAACAGGCTAAGCCTGTTTGGACAAAGTGTAGATCCTAATTGTAGAAATATATTTTTGTTCACCACTACATCTAAATTTCATTTAAAGGGAAGGCAAACACAGCATTAGGGAGTTCTTCCAAGAACAATAAGTGGTAGCTGGGGTGCATGTCTTAGGTGCGGGTAGATGGGGCACTACATGATGGAGGGCACAACAAAAATGCCTCTTGTTAAGGAAGATAATAAGGAGAGGTTGACAGGGGGCGCAGCACGAGCATACTAAGTTTTCAGAAGTGAAGAGAGCTTGTGATGCGGTGTTTGACTTCGGTACACACGATTACACATTTTTCATTGAGGTCGAGTCTTTAGTTTCTTCTGGGATAGCAGGGTAGCTGTTCAGTATTTGATGTGATTGATTAGAGGAGTGCAGATTTACACGGTGATTTTTCCTGGTTGGACAGATAGTGGTGTTACTTGGGTCATTGCAGGACAACTCGATTTAGCTCTAGGGGGAGCAACTCATTGTAAATGTCCATTGCTTTCAATAGGCGTTGAGGATGGTTATAATTTACTCTCAGTTTAGTAGTCATAGGATCTGAGGTTGTTAGTTTCTGATGAGGTCAGAGTTGCTTGTAACAGAAGCGTGCTCTCTGGTCGTCTCTCTCCTTCATCGATCTTCATTTTTGAGAAGATTTGGCTCGCCCTCTATCCTTCCTAAAGGAACTTCTTAACTGGGTTGACCTGAAAGCAATTCTAGATCAACACCCGGTTCCATAATATAATTGATGGCTTCGACGATGTCCTCCAAAAAGGAGAGGCGGAAGTTTACTTGCCAACAATTTATCTCTAGGTTGTATTTACTTCTTAAGTATAAACATTTGTTAACAAGTAATTACCAAAGACTAAATAATTGAAAATTTCCATCTCAAGAAAGTGACAAATTACTATTTTATATTATGAAAGAAAATAAAATTGTTGAGACTAGTCATGTAGAAATTGTACTTAAATTTTACTAATAAAAAGAGAGAATGCATAGAAGTTTTTTTCTTACAAAAATGAACTTGAGAAGATGAGAACAATCATTTAAAGTTTGTCCTGACATGTTTGTGTATGATTTTTTCAAAAATAATGTGTGTATATCTATGTCCTGTGTTTATATCCATGCTTCTTGGAGTGGGGCTGTACCTGTTTTCTGGGTATAGATAAGGTATTGAACTTGAAGGAGCTTTAGAGATGTATTTGTATGCCAAAGTCTACTTGATAAATAGGGTAGTTTGCAAGCCACGACTAGAAATCAAAATTCAGAAAATAACTAATAAGGCCTGTTTTTATTTTTATTTTTTTGTGACAAAAAACCATTGTGTCCTATTAACTTTTGAGTTAACACAACTAAGTCTTTCTTTTTTAGTATAATTTCAAATAAATCTTAATTCTACAATCATTTCTCTTTTGCCCATTAGGTTTTAACTACATAAATGCCATCTTATGAGAAATCAGTAAAGTTTCAATATAAATAAATAAAATAAATCGTTCCATACACATCACCTAACACGGTTAGCTGTCCAAAAAAAAAAAATACATTTAAGAATTATTCAAAATATAGTTTATCTCATTAGTAGGATGATTAATAAATTTATTTTTTTCAAAAATGGAAATTTGATACACATGTTTAACTAAAAGTAAAGTAAATTTATATAAACTTTAAAATACTGTAAAAAATCATAAGCAATCATTATATTTACTTCCCAATTTTTATATAAATTGAAATTTGTAAAAAAATTATGAGCAATAGTATAGTTATTGTTTGATGAAAGAATGATGAACAAAATTTTAGTTGATGGTTTAACGAGAAAGGGTAAAATTGGAATAAATGTATGATTGACAGAGTATTGAAGTAAGCTGGAATAAATTATTAAAAAAAAGACTTGATTGTCCTAAAAGAAAGTTGCTAGTTTTTTTTGTTGGGATGGGAAAAGTAAGACTTATCCGATATTTTGCTATCAAAATTTCCTTCACTTATGTTTGGGTGGTTAGTATTTGGTTGTCTGGCTTTTGACCCACTTTGTCTTAGGCTAAAGGGTTCCAATTAAAGTTGGTCGATCAAGTCTGCAGTGGAGGAGAGCAGCTTAAAAAGTGGCCTTAAGTCCAATTTTTCCAATACTTACTTTTTTGGTGCTATTTTAACTCTTCTATTCTCTACTAGTTGAATCTAGTCCGAAAACCAATAGCTTTTGTTTAAAGTATTTTTATTTTTTATTTTTTAAGACTTTTTAATTACTTTTTTAAGGAAGGGTTGTGTTGTTTTTGTTTTTGTGTAAATTACAATTTCACCCTTAAAATATGTACCCAATTTTTATTTGTTCCTTTAAGTTTTAACTATAACAGTTAAATCTTTAAGAGTTTTAATTGAGCTTTTGTTTAGTCATTGCATCAAAATTCACTAATTTATTATTATGGAATGACTTTCCGTGACCAAATCATAATTTGGGTAAAAGGGTATATTTGTTTGTTGAATTTTTTTTAATGTGTAAGCTAGAAAATTATATTATTTTATTTTATTTTATCTGATTCAAAAAAAGAAGATAAGAAAGCTAAAAATAAAGTTACAGAGTGAGAATTTGAGAGATACTGTGAGACATAGAGAGAAAGAAATATACGTAATTGAGATATTTTTTGTTGGACATTAATCTTTATGGACAAATCATGTGACATTCTTCTGTAGATATAAATTAAAAGATCTGCATGAAAATAATGAATTGAAATTCAGTTAAAACTTTAAAAATGCAATTGTTTTAATTAAAACTTTAAGGAAATAGAAATTAGTGTAAAATATATTTTTGGCTCCCAAACTATATATTTTATGTCAATTTCACCATCAATCTTTAAATTGTGGCCGGTGGAATTTACTAACGAATATTGTCACAGGCATCTCACGTGAGTGACACAAACTATAAACTTGAAGAATTAAAATGAAACAAGTAACAAATTTGAGGGACCAAAGTGGCCCTTCAAGTGTGGTCACGTAAACATCTCTGTTAGTCAAGTCGAAC